GAACGCACGTTGCGAATGCGACGAGAAGCCGATTATTCTCCGGTAATGATCACACGTCGGAACGCTCGGAATGTTTGCACAAAATTGACGCACGATCCGCTTCCCCGAACCGAAAGTATATCTCTTTAAATGCGCTTAAGTCGCCACGATCTAGCAATTCTGCCGCAATAAAAATGCCGTAAAGAGTTCGGCGACAAGTGCATCCCGTAATGCACAGAGCCCGGTGCCGTACTTCGCAAACGGAGTCATCGGTTATCTTCGCGTGGGATTTTCGACGCGCGCGTACGTTGGTAATCGATGACGCGATCTTTCGGAAATCCGATTAAAAAGTCATCGATGACGAGCGGTGACTGGCGCGTCACGTCGTCGTCGTCGCACATGTCTTCTCTCCGCGTAGGTGACCCACTTCGAACTGAGTCTTCTGCCAAACGAGGAAGTAAGTGGATACGGATAACGTCGCGCGTATATCAGCTCAAGGCGGTCATATAGCAGTCTATATGGCCTCTCCCCGCGCGATTCTATATGAGCGTGTGGAAATGTCGCTCGCTTCCTCGCGTGCGACGAAATGTTCTTCGCTCCGCGGGTCGCTGGCTCCCTTTTTCTCATTCCCGCCACCCTCTCGGGTCCTGAAGACCTCGGATTTCTTTCGCGGAATAGCTTAGATAGCTCGTCCGTGCAAACGACGAGACTGTCCATGTTAATTGGTACGAATTGAAGAGACACAGATGACTTAGAGCGCTTGCTTTTCGTTGTTTCGCGTTTGCATGTCCCGATGCGCTGATCAGTGACCACTATTTCGGCAATAGGTCTTTAGGAAGACGATTTCCTCCCTACGTTCAAAGAGAGAAACGTGGACAATGGTTTTTCGGATAAAGCGCTCGACGCCGATGTTCCGTCTGGTCATTCTCTCCAGACTCGCACGATTCAGAGACGGCCGAGAGTTTACGAGCAATCTATGGGAGAAATACGGTAACCTAGTAACACGTAGACCGCTCCGCTTATTTCTATTACGAAATTGCTTTTGTTCGCTCGTCATTGTTCGCGTGCCGGCCTTTGAATTGCCGCGCCGTACTAGTTCACGTTAGACCGATAATGCTTCGCCAAATTATCGCGTATTGTGTCTGTCACGTGTTGGAAGAATAGTTACAAGAGTTATTCGGGACTTTACGTGTCTATTGAGATGAGTTCCTATCGAGTACAATAACTAGCACGAATGGAAATACTCTAAAAAAGTGTGAAAGGAAAAATTTTTTAACTCGAAAAATTTTTTAATAACAGTATTAATTAACTCTGATCTTTTCTAATTATAAATTTAAAAGATGATCTCGAACGCATAGCCGTTTTGCATTTTTTTCAATTGAAGAACTTCAATCGTCATCATCTTTATTGTCGTATTTGAACTTAGGAGGAAGTTCCAATTTCTAGACACATTCTTAATAATTTTTGACATTCTTGTTTTAATCTTTAAGTACGGGGATTTAAATTTCCAACATAGAATATACGTGTATATATATTTTTTTTGTTAAAAGTTTAAATGCTCGTATTTAAAATATTTAAAAATCAAAACAAAAAGAATGTCCAAGATTACATGTCCGGGCATTGATACTTTTACCTTACCCCTCGTTCGCGCTGAAGTTCTCACGCCAGTTCCGTTGGGTATCACGCCGTCGACTTGGAGTGACCAAGCGAGGACCTCGGGAACATTACGGCCCACTCGGTACAAAGGCATGGAAGCTCACCGTCCCCCATTCCCTCGTAAATAATTCCAATAAATATTATCGGTACCTACTGTTGGCCGACGCCTACGTCTCGCGCCGAGACCGCACTTTTCCGATGGCTTCGCACCGCGTTACGTTCGATCAATATTCATCTGCATTAATACTTTCTTCTTGGTATCTTACGCGAGTTCCTCTCTCGGTGCATAACGATGCACACTTGCGTCCCGTATCGATACACGATGCACTTCTTGGTAAACGTGATCTTCCGTTCTTAATCGATACGTGTCACTGTAACTTTCGTAGATGTTCGAATCCTTTGCTAAGATCGAGACACGTGTGTATCGGTGCGCACGTCTCGCACCGCTACATGTGTGCAGCCAATACCGGACACGTTGTTGGCACGGAGCGAAATATGATTTAACGTCCGTCCCGTCGTTGTGTTTTCGACCAGCCAAATTTGTCAGCGCGCGAATTCTCGTTTCGGCGACCTGCCGTGCAGTCTCGAATACCACTCAGATATATATGCATACACATGTGGAGAAACGTATAATTGCTTTTAATCCTGGATACTCGAGCGACACATTTTTTTTCAAGTACTCCTTCCTCTCGCACTTGACACTCGTGGAAAATTAAATCTTGTTGCTCGTTCGAGCTTCCAACATAAAGAACTGTTGCTCTTGACTCATCTGCTGAAATTTAACACAGCATAATTAAAGCGTCGCTCTCCATTGTACTAATAGACGCACATGAGAATATGAATGAAAGTCGGGGTGAAAGGAGGGAAGAAGAGTGGAGGGTAACAACACGCAGCTGGGGGAAGTTTTCGACGCGCGACGGATGCCGCGCGAACTCGTGCGGACCGTCAGGAAGATCCACAATGCGGGCGCGGCCCGTTGAACGATAATCCTGATTTAGACGGGGCCATATATTAGACTAAGGGTCGTGAAATTGAATGGTGGAATCAGCGGAGAGAACGATCCGGCTGTCAACCGCGCGAGGAACGAAGTATATCGTGCGAAAAATAAACTGCTTCTGGCGCGCGAGCGGGGTTAGTAAATTTTGCAGGTGGCCAAAAGCTACCTGCCTGCCTCTCTCTCTCTCTCTCTCTCTCTCTCTCTCTCTCTCTCTCCTCTCATTCTCGCGTTCGCTCTCCTCTTTTCATTTCTCTCCGTTCATCGCGCTCCACGTTCCACGGCCGCCGATCTCGGACTTCTCGTCGAGGAGTGTCCTCTCCCGAGAAGGCTCGTAAATCCTCGCATTTACTTCGCGTCTTCTGTCCTTACTTGGAGCTTATATACGTGAATCCTGACTCGTCAAATCCAGGCGACACATGTACGCCGGCATTCCACGATCGCCTCGTGACGATGTTGCTCGCCGCGAATTTTTCATCCGGCAGGTTTAAGCGTCGTATATGCAATGTTGTAAACCAAAATGTAGTTATCAAAATGTTGATATAAATCGTTACTTGTTCCACGATATGACAGACCACATTACTTCGAAATTACACGAAATAATACTCGTTAAATCTCCTTTTCGATACAACATCGCACTGAAAAATTAATTTCGGCATGCAACAATTAATGCAACAGTCTTTCACATATAATATGTATAAACGTGTTTGTAACTCATACTTTCCTAAGTTACATCGCGTTGATTGTGAAACTGCGAAATGACTTCCCCACACGCGGGACGTGCGAGCGACAGGACCCCGGCCATCAAAAGGATAGGAGAAGGAGTCTCACGCCTAGTCAACGTCGGATTATTACGTCCGGATACGAAAGCTATACCGCGAGTCCGTTATTAATGCGACCGATACTCATTCCGTACTCATCCGTAGATACGATCTCCCCGCCCAGCCAATCGGATAGCTACGTCTAAACCCGTAATTACCATTAGCCCACCCATAGCGGGTGCGATGCTACAAGCCGACTAACGAAAGTTTCAATTTACCTTGCGCCGCATTCTACGCAACCTGTTAATCTAAAATGAACGTGTATACATAGTACGCGCCGTATTATTACACCCTCAACCCCGCATTAAGCGCAGTTTACACAATGCTGTTCCAAGCTAGCAGCCAGCGTGCTTGTTTGAAAGCGTTTAAAGCTAGCAGATACACTAGCGCTTTAATTGTATGGGCTTTTTATCCGTAGAAATATGCTGCGAGAAATTTATCAATGCAATTGTGAGAAAAATTCATTTAAGAAAGAGGAATCACACACGGAAAAAAAGATTGGTTGAATTAACCAAATATCTGGTCGAATACGATCCAGAAATTCTGATTGAAGTAATCCAGATTTAGTTAACAAGATCCGGTTTAAGTTAACAAGATTTTTGGTTGACTTAAACAGAATTCGGGTTATTTCAATCGGAATTTTTGGGTCGTTCATATTCGACCAGGTATCTGATTAATTCAAGCAAACTTTTTTTTTCCGTGCACAAAGGAAGTACAAATTTCGAGAGAGGAAAACGTCATTAGTTGTTTCAGCTACACATATCCTGAAAAATCGTTCAGGTTCTACCGTGTGTGAACGTATTTCACTCACATTAACAATATAATGTAATGTTTTCACGCGGTGAATCAAGTTATAATGTGAGCGTTGTTCTCCTGATGATGATTCTATTTATCATAATGAGCGTGCTCTCGGACCTAAACGTAGCATATAGTTTGGGATTAGCGTAGAATTACATTCACGCGAACGCGCGAGCGATCTTGAGATTTGACATTAAGATGTGTCATGACGCATTACGTGTATGGACGAGATTGAATCAGCAGCATACGTGTTCGATATCGACACGCGTTGCTGAAGGGAAGAAAGGAGAGGAGGAGGAGTGCTGATGTAACAAGCGTCGAGTCATCGCAGGTCGGAGCGTGCCTTTATGGTTTTCCCTCGTGTTCATCGACGTCGCTGCGTATCGTTACACGTTATGTGAGATTAGAGTCAATCAATCACTCGTTAGAATCGTATGCGATCCGTGATCGTGCCGCGCGATCGTCTCGTGCGGCTTGTTAAGCTCGCGCTATTAATTACCAGAAACAGTGGATGACTTGCATCTTCGCGTCGGCTGCGTTCACCCGCGCGGACCTTACGAGATACTTAGATTAGTGGCATGCACGCGCGGATGAAGTCGTTCAGAGACGCCGTTTAAAGTCTCTCCTCTCTCTCGTTCTTTCTCTCCTGAAGCACCGCGCGCGACTACTACTACTACAACAACAGACTACTACTAAGTATTTCTCGCTACGTTCTCCCGATGCTGATGAGCGCTCTCTTCTTTTTGTTTCAGGCTTTTGTCAAGAATCTGGAACCGGAACAACAGTGAGTATCATGATGACTTGTCGTTCGGCTATCTCGTGTAAACACCATGGTCGATCTCGCCTCGTTCATTCCGTGGCTATTCCGCGGCGCATTTACGGGGCCCGGTGCAGAATTTCTCTCCTAGCCGACAGGGGATGATGCATGAGCGCAGTAAAGCACATTAGCGAGATCGACGAAGCAGTGTCGCGCCGCGGTAACCCGATGCGTAAGAGAAAAAGACGAGGAAAAAAAAAGAAGAAAGAGAAGGAGTCTCTCCTCTCTTCCGCTCACCGGTTCGTCGATAAATCGCGGCCCTCGTAGAAATTATAGCAACCATCATAATGGCGCTGTGTACGCTCGGGGACGCGATACTTCTCTCACTTCGATCAGCTACATAAATCTGACGGATCACATTAGCTCGCCGTTTAATGGCTTTTAAATCGGCTAGTATCCTAATAAATTCCGTAAGATCCTTTCTCTTTTTTCTAATAACACATCTCGCCGTGGACGCAAGTTATTTATTTATGGAGAATCGTTCGTTTTCGAGGCGAAGCGGGAGTGGTGTTGGTTTCGGTACCGCACGCAGGCACGCACGCACGCACGCACGCATGCGTGCACCTGGTGCGTCTCTCGGAAGATTTTGATATATCGAAAGGGATGGTGAAACTATTTGGGCCGACACCCCCGCCTAATCCGATCCCTTTGCTCGGGACCTCGGAGATGCCTCTCTCTCGCTCCCTTAATATATCATCCAGTCGTACAGATCGCGCCCCTTTCGAAAAGGATCTCTACGTGCGGGCCGGCCAAGTTGGCCGCCGTCTTCTCCCTGTCTACGGGCGAAGGAAGACGTCGCGCTTACGATTCGTTTTACGATTCGAATGGCGCGACGATTTACGAGCAATCGATAAATCGAGAGGCCATTCAGCGGAGCACATTATAATCCCGAGCATGTACGCTGTTGCAGATTCACGACGACGAAATTGCTGCAAGACTTCCCGCATGTCAAGTACATCATCGACCTGACAAATACACTTCGCTACTACGACAAGAAGGTAAGGCACGCGCGTACACACACACACACACACCCACACAGAGATATGAGTTTCGAGTCATTATCAGATGTCTTGAAACTACCTCGATCCAACTATTGTCAATGTCCAAACGACCCAGTTCGATCTATCCGCGGCGGTGACGTTTGTGCACATATTCGATGATTCATGTGCCGATAGTACGATCGTAAAATCATTGTTGCGCACGGAAATAAATTGTTCGAGATGCTGCACGCCATTAAAAGAGCGGCCGCGGGCATGCGGGCAATACCGTCTGATGAGACGGCGCTGATATTGCCCCGCGAATTTAATTCGGCGACATATCGCGTGTCGTTCGAGTTTCGAGTCGTAATTCGCTTTGTTTATGCATGCGCGCTCCCTTGCCTCTCAGTAACACGAGACAAGAGACGTCTTCTCTTCTCCCGCGAGCTGTCATCTGCTGCATTCCTTGATCGAGCAGATATCCAGGTTCTCTTTTTTTTTTTTATCTCTCTGTCTCTTTCTCCCTCTCCTCCTTTTCTCTCAAACTTCATCGTTCGACCACCGTCCCTGTTATCTCCGTTCGTCTATCATATTTTGCCTCCACCTTCGCTTCACCTGCTCTGCCCTCGCGCTTTTTCACTCTCTCTCTCGATCTCGCGTCCGACGCCCTAATATCGCATCGGGGTCAGCTCCGACTTTATTGAGTACTTAAGAGCGCTCGAGAGCGGCCCGACTAATTTGTAGCGAGGGTAGAGGGTCCGCGAGCTAATGAACTTATTATTAGATTTTTGGAATAGCCGCCTGCCAACGACTCTCGATCGGTCGGTCGGCCAGTCAGCGTGAGGATGTGTCCGCGCTTTCTGGGTCAAAGCTGTCAGGACCGAAGACCGATCAATTATATTAATAAGTCGTGGAGTTGGTTCGGTCACTCCATCTTCCGCTTTTTGTCCTGATCCCGCCGACGTTTGGACAGCCATTTGCCACGCGAGGATGGCGAGGAGAATCCTACTAGGGGATTGTATTTTAAAATACACCTCCATGGACACACACACATACACCGCGTACGTCGTGAGCATCAATAGCGCCGCGGGACCAACGATAATTAACAGGGAGATCTGCCGGTGTCGCCTACGCCTAATTAGAGCTTCATTATACATATAATGAAGCTCTTAGTTGGTCCTTTAATTTCCCGAGCCGTGACCACGATGTCACGGGAGAAACGAGATCATCTCTGTAGAGACAAAGGACCTCGCGCACCGGCTCGTGGAGATGCTATCGTCGGTGTCATAGGAGGATGTTAGAGTTTATGCCCTCCGAATTTTGGGCATTTCAATCATGTAAATATTTATATCCGAACCATCTCTCGACATTCTTCGCGATGCGCATCTTGATCAGATGTATGATTAGAGGATATATTTTGTTTTTTCTCCACGAGCATATCGATGAACTTACGAATAGGATCTCCCTGAGACACACACACTTCGTGACGCTTTCTGAAATTAATTATAATTATGTCTTTTTTTCGTCATAACTTGACTTTTGTCAAGATTGAAAACTGCAGGTGCACTTGTGTGAAAGAATTTCCAGGGCATTATCAGCGTTCGGGGGGAAGAGGGGGAGGAGAAAACCTCGAGGTATAGCTTTGAGAGCGACACTGTGCGATCGAGTTAAGATCGAGTTTCTAATATCTCACTAAAAGCCAAAAAGATTGATTGTTATGACATGATCTGTCATTAGGGTGGAAAACGAGTGGTAACCATCAGCTTGATATCTTTCATAACGGGTTAGAATTACGCTGTCGATCACATTGATTGAAACTTTTCCCCAATTATCAACGATAAATATGTTATCATACTTGACAGTATGAAATATCGACACGAAATCTCGACGAATAGCGATTTGTTGTGGATTTTTGCCTGACCACACGTAAGTTTGCGCAAACGTTAAGTCGTTAAGATGATAAAGACGATAAATTTTTATATTATTTAGTGGTTTCTCCTTCGCTGGTTAAAATTCGATTCGTTAGTAATGCATTTGAGGCTCGAGGGAGACCGACTAGAGGTAAATAATAGAGAGATTCATGAATATGCAGCACTCGTTGCCTGTTGGCGGATACGCCTGTGCCAAGAACTTTTTCGAGACACGAATAACTGTGAATCTCGCTTTCGTTCGTGTCGATTACGTTCATGGCCACGTCTTCCCCTTCCGCCATCGCAAGCTTTACGCGTAGAGTCCGATATTTCTTTGCTTTACGGAAGTACCGAACGACGCGCTCGCACGCTCAAAGGCATGTAATAATTATTCGTGTCGTTCGTAATTGACGGTTTCGCGTGTGATAATTAGTGATGCTAAAAAGCCCCCCGGGGCGATTTAAGGGAATAATTTAAGGGGATCGGCTCGACCGATCAAACTGTACGCTCCTATTCAATTAATGCGTCTGCATTTCATGCTGCGGGGACCACACTGCCTTTGTTACGTAACAATACACGATTCTTCATGCAGCATTCACGTGTCTGTTGTAGGAGTTTACCGATGCTGGGATCAAATACGAGAAGATCGCTATACCAGGAAGGAAGGTACCACCTATGGACATAATCAAAAAGTGAGTATGCAAATGACTCTTGCTTCATTGACAAATTTACGCGGAACAGGTTCACGTGACGAACCTTAGTTTCGGCGGTGAACATTACCCAAAGAGAATCTTTCTCGCGAAATCTCACGATTTTATTTACCAACGATACGCGCAATTGCAAGCGTCATCACGGCGACACATACATTAGCTCCTCCGCTATACGCGACATTTTTGTATTGACTCGGCGAATGGAGTAGATAAATGGACGGATCGTAGGAAGGCGAAGGCTTCGGTTTGACATAGCGCCGTGGCAATATATATTACGCTCATGCGAAGTGAACGAATCTGCCATTAAACCGCAGCGGACGCCGCTAGCGATTTAACCGACTCGCTAAAGCACGCGCGCATGACACGGCGCGAGCCTCTTCTTCCTCGGGCACTCTACGAGTCGCGTTAACCTCTAGCTTAATGCCAGTCGTATTTCACATTTACTGCCCCTTTCGCGACGATCGATCGTCGATCGCGCCACACGATTCGCATAGTGACAGCCGGTTAATCGTTCGCCCGCAAATCATACGTCACCTTAACAAGGAAGTTGACCGGTGTGCACCGTTTTTCTGGTGCGTCGAAAGAGAGAGAGAGAGAGAGAGAGAGAGCAGCGGTCAAATATTGCGTCAGAAATTTATCGCTTGCTTCTCTCTCTCTCTCTCTCTGCTTTACACTCTCCCGATATTTTCGTCCGTTAATTTAGGTCGTAAAGCGCGCGCTATATAGCGAATCGTGTTACATCGTTCGGAATATTTCGGCTGATACCGGCGGCGAGTAATGAGTTTGGTTACGATCGACCTTGCGCGATGAGTCCGGTATCGCGACACCATCGGGCTATCGCGACGATTTTTTGTCGCATTCCACTTCAATCATTCGCCACTGAGCGACGACGCGACTTCCGCACTTAATGGCATTGCCCGGTTTCGCAAACGGGTAGAATTAGTCTCAGATGTCTTTTGACATCTTCGCTTGAGAACATATATCGTCCACAGTATTTTTTTTGTGATGACGTCAATAATTGGGCTCTTTATTCTAGTTGAAAAAAAGTACGAGGAATTTTGCGATGCAGATTGCCCGAAATTACTAAATTCTCCTCGTCATCGTCGGCCATCCGATGGCCGTCGGATAGCCGAAAGGGCTACGATAAAATTCTCGAAATTCCGAGACGATGCCGCGACGAGTGTTCGAGATAACATCCCGTTCCTCGTACTTTGCTCGTGCGCGATGGGCAACGCGCGTTAACCTTTGTACGGCGCCATCATCATCATGCGCGTGTGGCTCTCCTCTTCCGAATGGTGCATGCAAAACAGTCTGACGGGGTCCGGCCAACCGACTAATTAACTGCAATAAACGTCCAGTGATTTACCGAACATTGTGCGCCGCGTGCATATTCTGCTCGTCTTCCGTCTCCGTTCTCTCTCTCTCTCTCTCTCTCTCTCTCTCTCCCCCCCTCTCTCCCCCTCTCTCTCTCCCTCTCTCTCTCTCTCCTTCTACGTTATCAAGCGCGTGCGGCTGATATCTCGAAATACTATATGTTCGAGTAATGTGTAAAGACTGCATTATACGATCGAGGAAGACTAATGCGCGAATGCCGTAATTAGCGGCGATTTCTTACGATGTATAAAAACTATTTGTTATTGCGGCAATAAAGGTATTTTAATTGTCGCGTCTCCCGGGCGTCCGGGAAGCGTTTGCGTCCGCGGAGAAATATGAAGACGTTCCCACGGCGATATCCGACGCAGTTACCTCTCGCGGCGAGCGCGCTACTAAAAACATTTTCGTAAGTGCGCCGCGCGAAAAAGGTGACACTTGCGGCACGCACTTAACGACGTCGCCCCGGATTTTTCGCCGGCTACCGGCGTTAAATACTATTTCTTTCGCTTGGTCGCGGGGCGGCAGGAGCGATAAATATACGAGGTATTTCCTTAACACCGCGGCGACAACGTTAAACGATTCACCAATCGAGGGTCAAAGCACGACCTTTCCGCGATTGACCAACTCCCACGCTCGCTCTCTTTCTCTCTTCCTCCCTCCCTCCCTCCCTTCGCGTTCGCTCTCGCGGTCGTCGATCGGCCCGCACAAAGGACGCGGCCCGATTTGTATAATTCGAGGATAAAACGGTGATTCGCATCAACGGTTAATAGCCGGCAGGAATGCGAATAGCCTATCGCGGAACGCCCGTCTGGTCCCGACACACCGCTCTTTTGTTGATCTCTTTAAGCGAGACCTGATGGCTTTGTGGCTCGGCTGTTGCGCGCGACGTGTAATTAACTGCATCCTTGATAGGATCGAATCGGTTACCGGCGCGCTGCCGTGGTCGAAACGAGGGAGAACGAAAGAATGAGAAGGAGATGCACGGGGAGGAGATAGTGCAGGCGCGCGCGCGGAGTCAGAGGTGAAAACTAGGCGCCACTTAATATCCTAGATATCCTTGAACTCTGGCGAAAGCGCGGAGGTAGATGGAAACGAGGAGAGGCTAAACCAACATAGACGCCGGTGTGTTAACCGCAGAAGGTGAAGACCTTCTACGTCGATCTCTCTCTTTCTCTCTCTCTCTCTCTCTCTCTCTTCCTCTTGTCAGGTTTATCCTACTTGGCCAACCCTTCTGAGGTCGCGATGCTCGTATCGACAGGATTTATCAGGCAGTAAGGTTGACTTACGTCGCCCAGGATTTCTCGTCTCTTTTGCACGCCTCTTCGTGCGCCCGGAAGATCGAAGGTGTTGATCCTTTGCCTCAAGGATACCTACGCGAACGCGCGCGCTCTACGAAGCGCCGTCAGCGAACCTTACCGCCGAAGATAGCCTTACCGTGGGCGCCGACATTCGCTGCCACTTAAAAATGACATTCGGAAGGCAAACGACGTTTCCTTATATCGCGGTGCTGTGAATTCTCGGGATTGGCGGCCGGCAATTAAAGGAGAAACCGCGAGTGATCGCGGCGAAGCTTTAAATTCGACGCGGTTAATTGCGCGCCTTGAATGGTCGAGTGACTGAGTTCATGGCAACAAGTGTGTCCTGCGTTTATCCGGGATAATTCATTCATGCGCTCGGCGCTTTCAAAGAAAGGATAATGCGGGGGAACTATCGATTTGCCGATTCTTTGAGGGACGATACCATTAGTCGGGGATTATCGCGCGGGAAACTTACCGTCATATCAAATCGCGTAATCTCTAATAATAAGCTGTACAATGTATTGCATACATTGAGGAAAAAGATAGTTCAAAATCTGCAAACAGATTTGCGCTACTTTTTTGAGTCTCACAGATCCAGAAATACACGGAGAGTTAAACTATACATTGAATTAGTATACATTAAATTAGGTACAATACGAACAATTCAATACATTTCAATACATTGAATTAGATACATTACGAATTGTATATTGAATTAAATACAATTTAAGTGTCAAATGATACTCTTACTACCTGTGAGACAAACAAGCAATCGACCTCCGCGACAAGAATCGCGCGGGTTCGCGTATTCGCGTCGCGTTTGCACCGTGAATGCAAGCTAGTTACCGGCGATAATTGCGACGATAGCGGCTCGTTAGTCGCGTGCACAGCGGATTAAGCAGTTTCACGTGGAACGCTATGTTAATTAAAACGTAAATAAGCGCGTGCAACGCGAGCCTGATGCACGCTGCAGACTGTCGAGCCATCGCCGTAGATTCCGTCGGGTTCCTCTCTCGCTCGTGGTGCACGGGCCACGCACAGGGGCCAATTTATGCTGCACCCAACTATATTCATCAACGTTGTCAACTACTCTCCACCTTCTTCTCTCCACCTCCAAAGCGCCGTCCAACTGTCGTTCTCTTTAGCGGTGCCTAGCCTCTCTCTATTCTTCGCCGGCTGCTCATGTTCGTGCTTCGTCACGCACCCTGACGAGATAGATCGTAACTTCGTTGTTCCATTCGCTCGTCTTCTCTATCTATCGCACGTCTTGATACGTCCGCGGGTTTCCTTTCAACGTCTCGGTTAAACGCGTCTCGTGGTATCAAGCCGGCGAGATCGGTCGATATTCAATTTGTAGTACGGAGGAAGTGGAGAGAGTTGTACGTCATGACTTCGATATGATATTTAATCGATACGTCGTCGTATTATTTTTACAGAAAATGATGCCTGAGTAAGATTGGGTAGGAAGAATCTCAGATTGTGAACGGCCTAAACTCGTGAAATATCGTTTAACGTGATCAGCTCGACGATTTATATCACCACGTTTCGATTATATCATAGGATTTACTACGGTGTTACGGCGATCTGATTAAATGCGGTCAAGGAATGTACACGAGACGTAATTCCTCGTGAGCTCAAGACACGCGACTACACGCGGCTGCGCGAGGAACGTGGGTGTACAGGACGCTTCACCGAAGACGTCTTTATTCGCAGAGACATCGAACATAGGTTTCCACGTGTCCTCCGTCTTGTATTGCGAGACACCGCATATATATTCTGCGAGAGAAAGAGCGCGAGGAAGTATCCCCTTCGCCATACTTAAAAAGTGTCGGGAGGGAGGAAGGTGGGAGGAGGGCACATTTGTGAGAAAGTCGAAAAAGCCTTTACTCTCTCTGCCTGTTGGAGAAGATAGATTCTAATTTTTTCCGAAAGCACAGACCCGGCGGTACCTCCCGCGAATCCAACCCGCGGGGTCTTGCCGACGAAAGGGAGGCACGCGGTGATCCCAGAAGAACGCGCAAACGTAAATGCCGGCGACGTCTCTCTCTGAGGGATCGTCGATTGGTTCCCTTCGCGCTCGGAGCGAACCCATCTCAAACATTCTGACGTGCGGTGTTCCTCGAGCCGGTGCCCGACGAGGCGCGCCGCGTGGAAACGGAGAGACGCGTTTTGGCAAGTGATTGTGGGTGGTAAAGCGCGCTTTGCGCTGTGCTCCGCATGCGTGCGTGCGTGCGTGCGTGCGTGCCCTCGCGTTCTCTCCCATGCGCATAATGGTCCGCGTGCACACGTTGCTTCATATTTCCGGTGCCGTTAATTCGGGCCCGCGGCCCGAGAACTCGACGACGACGACGACGATGCTGCCGCCGCGGCTACAAGTCGTCCTCGAGAAGCGAGATCTCCGCTCGCCTCTCTTTGTTCTCTCCACCTTGGCAGCGTCTCGGCATCGGGACGACGAAGAAACGCGCACACGCTCGCGTCTCACGCTCGGGACCACCCGGGCGACCGCTTCATTACGTAAATTCGCCACCACGACGCGTCCTCCCCGTCTTCGCGTGCCCGTTTTGTCCGTGCACGCGCCCGTCGTCTCGCCGCCCATTCTCTCCGTGCGACGTGTGGCAATAGTGCAAAGGCGAGGCGAAATACCGACGTGACGCCTCCTCCTTGAGGACTCTTCGAGTCGATCGACCGTCCTCAGTCAGGGGCGATAACACGCGGTTGTATGGGACGTAGAAGCATGTACTTCCAATGATATCGAGTAGTCATTCGCTCAATTCAAACTAATTGCCTGGCTGCTTAGAGTGCAAAATTATTAAATAAAATATCGAAGAGACAACAGAGTTTGATCTTTTTAGTCAGTTTTGATAGGACTTTATTTCAAGGGGGATGATTCTATTTCGGATTTGTTCACTAAGATATATCTTCGATTATTCTATGCAAATTTTGTTAATGAATTTCCGTGATTATCAACAAATCGATTGTGCGACGCATTGCGCGACGAAGATATGGTCGCATCTTTCAAATTGGGCGGATTTTTAAATCGCGTGCTTTATACGATGACAAATTGCGCACTTGGGAAATGGAATGACCGTGAAAACAGACGCGTACCAAGTGCTGCCGTTGCCTTCCGTATACGCGACTCTGATTGAGAAACAGTCAGCCGGAGTGTTTGCGCAGTACTTCTACGATATCTTCGGGGTTCCGGGATCCGTGCTGGGAGAGTACAGCCATACAAACATCGGGTAACCGTTCACCTACCTACGGCCGCGCGTGGTCCATGCATTAAACATTCTCAAACACGGGCGATCTCACGTCTCGCGATGCCACCTTCGCTCACCGGCCCGCGTGCAACTCACGTGAGAATGATTCGTGAATTTCGATGAGCGCCAAGAGAATCGTTTCTAGTCGATTCTAATTAAATGTCACGCTACGTGATACTCCAACGACGCGCCTCTATATCTGTCAAGAGAATAGAATTCGTGTATTGGCGATTTTAAGAGCTTCGATTAAATTGACTCGTTATCAAGTATGCGCGTTACCGAGACAAGACAAGCGCGCGGTTATTGTAAGCCATCACGCACAGAATGTGTGAATTGTTCCATCGAAGATTTTCGCTTTCTTGTCTGAATGTGGGGCACGGAAAGAAAGATTGATGCAAAGTGCAAACATGGGTAAAAATCGGAGAAAACGAATTTATGGGCGGAAAGAAGGGCAGCCAAGACTGCTTGGAGCGCTAGGAAACCTAGCTCCAGGTCAGCTGTGAGCCTGACGACCGCGTACTTACTCGAGAAGCTCGACATTCTCAAAAATACCGGGGCTTAATCTAACTCCGGCCGTATCAGTTTCGCGCTAGACCGCGGTGTATCAGATTCACTCGCGTGATACCGTAGATAGAGCGAAACGACTTACTCTCAGACATTTGCCGCAAGGGGTGATCGTAGTCATTCGGGGCGCGTACTGTCTCATTACCGATGGACGTTGTGCCCGTCGTGCGCGTCTCAATCTGTACGTCCCCGGAACAGCGTTCGTTTCGGGGACGTAAGAGTGCTCAGTCATGCTACTAATTTGTCGCACCGTTTCCGTCGTGGAATCTACAAAGATACATCGCTGTCGAACGAAGCAAGTTCGGGCATTTGCATGTGACGCACGTTAATCGCGATGCTACTTACACCCCACATCTTCCTCGTCATCGCGATCTTCGACATCCGGCATGGCGTCAACTGAACAGAAAGACAGCAGTCGCGAGAAGTACTTTAGTCTACTTGTATGTACTTCTAATTGTTACAATCGAATTTCACAATTGCAGCGGCTGTGTTAGTCATTTAATCTACCTGGTCGCGGCTTGTATCTTATATGTTAGGTTATTTTATATCCACGCGACGAATCACGCAAAATGTTGCCGTAAGATCTACACAGATCGTACTTGATCGTACTTACAGTCGATTCGTCGCGGGACAATGGCCACACCTGTGAGATTTCGTCTGCGCGACGTAATTCTCAAAGGGGTATCCTGCGGAAGGGAACGTCGATAGTCTTGTCGCATGATTCTCGGCGGTGTCGATGGAAATTCCGGCGCAGGCTCCGCTGCCTCGTATCGCGTCGATGTACGCCATTCTTGCGGAGTTGATCTGAGATTTATGAGACTTTCGACATGTTTTCGACAACTCGGATCAGTTTCTCGCTTTGATCGCGAAGATTCCGCGGAACGTGAAGATTCCAAGAAAGCGCAACGAATTATTTCTAGGTTACATACGTTCCGAATTCCGACAAGGCGGTATGATATTCTTCCGTGGTCGGGGTAGTTTCGTTGCAGTTGCACGTAGTCGTTGAATTCATGGTTGATAACGAATACTTATTTTGCAATTTTGAAAATATCGCCGAAAAAGGATTTACAAGCCTAAAGGTGTCGGGACGTTTGCAGATTTTACATCATGACGTTTATCGATTACTGACTATCGACTGTCTCTCTTATCTTCCTTCATGACATGAAGCAATTCGTTCACAGTCGAGTGAATCACTCGTGAATCGTATGGATTAGAGTTAGGGCAAAGCATAATTATTCCTGATTGGTCTGCACCTTGTCCGCCATTTTTATGCCTGGGCATTTTAATAACATTAATACCTAGCTCTGGGCATTCTTGTTTTCGTAAATATTTAAATTTTAAAAATATGTAGAATATATTTACACGATATTATAGTATTTTTATCTCAATTCAATTTAATTTAATGCTCGTCTTTCTCTCGATTCTTTCTTAAACTTTTAGCATGGTAAAAATCCGCCGGGATGAAAAATTGATCGTTTAATGAGCCTCGAGAGTCCGGTGTGTAGTACCGCAGATAATGAATGCGCGTTCGCGTGTCTCGAAATCTAAACGTCGCGATGTATTTATTTGTCATCGTCTCGTCGGATGTCAATCGTAACTTGATAACCATTAAGTTTAAGTAACAGCGATGTTCTTCCGGACAGTGATCGAGTTTTTAGATAAGGCGCCGTTACGCAATCGATTCGTCTCCACACGGCTGGAACACGGTCCGATCGTGATCTCACAGTAAAGTCACACGCACTCACGCACGCACGCATTCACGCACGTGAGCGAGCACGTAGTACGGTGGGCGCGTGCGAAGGACCACACACCGTGCGATATTCAAATGAACACCACTTACGACCGACAATCGCGCTGCCATAAACGTTGTCGTTTCGCGGTTTCACGTCTCCTTATTCGTCCTTATTCTGGTTGAGCCCGCCGAGACGTCCGTCACGGTGTGATTTTCACGGTTTATGCAAAACGGGATTATTGGCGGCGTTATCTCGATACAGACCCTTCACTCAATTAGCGACAGAGTCGCCTAGACTCGTGAGGAGTGTAAAAGCGCGTTCCATTAACACCTCGCACCACGCACATCGCACGACGTGCTGCGACGCGTACGCGATAATAACTGTTCCACGCAGCGTTATTTGAATTTAAAATTACCCGAAGTATCACAGTGGTGGACGTGTAGGAAGGAAGGAAGGAAATTTATGTAATGGTAATTGTAAACCGCCAAATATATATATATACGGTTGAATTAAACAGCTTGTCTGCTAATATGAAGCGTCAAAAGCGTCAGAGTTATTTCGTAGGAAGGAAGGAAGGAAATTTATGTAATGGTAATTGTAAACCGCCAAATATATATATATACGGTTGAATTAAACAGCTTGTCTGCTAATATGAAGCGTCAAAAGCGTCAGAGTTATTTCGTAGGAAGGAAGGAAGGAAATTTATGTAATGGTAATTGTAAACCGCCAAATATATATATATATATATATATATATATATATATATATACGGTTGAATTAAACAGCTTGTCTGCTAATATGAAGGTCAAAAGCGTCAGAGTTACTTCGTGCGATAATCGTAAGTTCGACGCAATAGTTCAGGATTCAGCGTAGATATTCGCGCTTAACGTACGTACATACGCACGTTACATACACGTAATCGTCCGACTACAGGAAAAGCCGATTTCTCCCATCACTGAAATTCGCGAATTGAATATGAGAAATCGGAAACGCTCATATGATGCAACGCAGCGGGCTCACTGAACTGGAATTCGGATTGACCGACTTGCGACCTTCCAGCATCGATACGAGATAAATGATAGTCTTCGTTATCGTAAGAAAGTAAACGCGCGCGGGGAAATCTATTCGCGGCGGGTAACACGCTAAAATATTCCTGGAAGAAGCTCGCCATTGATGGATGACTGGTTCTATAAATATTGATGGCCGCTCATCCCCCCACGTCGCCGGATCAGAACTTTTGATTTGGATTTTCCGACAAAGACGGCGCTCGAAAATATGACCATCGCGCTGATCATGATGGTAATGATGACGATGATAATGATTATGATGATAATGATCATGGGGTGATGATGATGAAGCTGGTTCTCGATATTAGGTTCTTCAAGAGGAATTCCTTCGTGGCGGGGTGCGAAACGTGTCGTTTACAACGACACCTCCGTTGCCGCCTCGAATCTGTAATTCAAATCCGTAAGTCAAATTAATTTAACGCTCGTCATTTTTCACGTTTCGGCGGCGCGGCGCCGCGCCACGCCACATCGCGGCACGCGGAGCCCCGGCAGCTATCTTTCGATATTTCATCCTGAGGAAGGCCGTGCCCACTCTCTCTCTCTCTCTCTCTCTCTTTCTCTTTTTCTTTCTTCCCCCCTCGTGATAGATGCATTTCCCCGTGATTGTGCTGTCACGCTCTCGAAACGAGGAAGACGCGCCACGAATATTTCAAGTATTATAAATGCGCGGCAGTGGAGGCGAATGACAGCGAGTCGACGTCGAGCGTTACTTCGCTACCGATACGTAGGAAATTTTCATTTTGTTCCTCGCGCTGACCTCGCGGATGAAGTGCTGCAACACGCGGCGTAAATCACGTAAATCTCCCGTATTACACGCGCGTCGATCGCGATACATCGCCGTGTTGCGACGATGGAGCATTCGCTAAGCCGCTTCGATCTGTTTCGAGCGCACATTTTACATGCATCTCGAGGATTCCGACGATACGGCGTGCGGATGTTTACAACTCTTGTCGGGGTACATTAGCACCCCTCCCGAACGAGATGCTCCTATTTCGAGAGTCATTATGAGGCTAAGAGGGCTCTTCGCAGGTTATAAATATCTCCCGCCTTATAACACATCGATATTGAACGGTGGTCGGCGAGTCGTGAATGAGTTAGTGCTTATAATCGCGTTAGACTAATCGGTGCTGTAGGGAGTCCGTTTTGAAGTTGAAAGGGACCAAAGGCACTAAAACGGTCCTATTAAGCCCCCATAGACCGCCACAATTGGGCCACCCAATCCCCGTACAATAACGATGGTAGGAACTTTCTGGGGAATCACATCGCGGCCGACATCGTGAAGCGGATTAAAACGATTTCACGCTTGTCACCGTATTTCCTTGGAAACTAAATGTTAACACACTCTCCGAAATGTGTTTTCGAAACCGTGCGCGAACCACGGTTGTTGTTAAGCTGTTGCGAACATTTCTTTACGATTTGATAATCATATAGCGGTTTATTATCTTGCGCGCTCCAATGTCACTGTGAAAAAACGTCAGGTTGCTGCATGGAAAAAGACGAAAGTTTGGTCGGATTAACGAAAAATCCAACCAAAATTTTTATTTCCCTGTGTTAATTCAACAAATCAATATCACGTCAGCCTGTGTCGCATGAAAGTAACGCGACGCGACGTTTCACCCTGCACAGCACCGTCAAAATGTTCCCGGAATTTTGTGGAAACGCGAAAGGGGGATGAATGGCGCGAATACCTCGCGCCATAATTTACCGAGTAGTCGAGGAAGAGTAGGCATAATCCGTTAATAAGTTCTGCTCTTCCTCTTCGTTTCGCCATCGGCAGTGAAGGAAGAGAGATTCGACCTGATGCATGGCTGTACCGCTGCAAATTTATTATAAGCGCTACCCGAATCTGCGAACTTTCGGGAATCTCTCTTTTTCGCGTCTCGCTCGCTCCGTTTCTCTCCCGTTCCTCCTATCCCATAGATCACGGGGCAGCCGCCGGTAAGTTCACGGTAAAGTTTATAGGAGACAAAAGGGGAAATGTGTTGCCCGCTGAAAAATCGCGGCCGTGACTATTATGAATCCGCCGTGCCGTACGTGGGGCGCATGTTGCGGACGTGTTTTCATGACATAATTCGGAATCGATTTAACATCTTAGCGCCCCGCGTGACGCGTAAAGGACTCGTCGGTGCTCTCACCCGTACTCGCCCGTAACTCAGGACGTCCCGGGCTCTTAAGTCTCATTACCATACTCCTTCGTTTGCCGGCGCTCGGGTTCTGCATACCTATTACATAGCTATTACACCGGCGGTTTGCTCGACCGGTATCTGAATATTTATTTAGCCGATTACTTTTTTCATCGACTCCATGGAAATTCGATCGCTGGCTGCCCCGCGAAATTACGGACGACAAATAAAGGACGAGCAAGCGACCGCTTGTCCCCGTTCAAAGGCGGCGCTGTTATTATGCATGCTTATAATATTGCGTCGCGCGTACGTTTGAGATGTTAATTATATCATTTAGCCGAGATAAATAATTACCCACGTGTAAATAATTAGGTAGCGAGGGAATGTTAATGCTCGCCGGCAATAAGTTACTTTACGAACTAGTTATTATTGGAACAACAGCGCTCTGTGTAAGAGAGCGCTGCATTAAACACACGTTTAGCTGAATTTATTTAGCTGGCTCCGGTCACGCACAAACTTGCAGATTGATCGTTGAAAAGAGTAACGTATTGTTCTCTCGTGCAGTAACGAGTCTTTCTGTTTGAACGAAAAACAAAGAATAACAATATTGCGAATCAGACTATAGTCACTGTTACTTTGTCAAAATTATAAATATTTTTGCTCTCTTTCCTTGCAGATTCTTTAAAGTGATGGATGATTTCACGTCAGCGTGCGGTGAAGGTGAGTTTGCATCATGTCAAATATTGTGTACTCTCGCTGACTCGTTGTAAATTACGCGCGAATCTTGGCAACAAATTTCCTCGACTCGACTGCGAAGTGACTTACTTGCATTTACCAGTATATACCTTGGACGAGTGCATAACGCCTCGCATTGATTAAACAGCATCTCATCGAGAAGCAAGATGCTCGAGAATTGCAAGGCTCATGTCTGATCGGCGCCAACTAAAATACGTCAGGTTTAACGCTAGGAGATAGTTCTTGAGAAACTTTTCAACGACTGTACGTAGGAAAAGAGAGGAATCACACACGTAGAAGACACACTAAGGACATCGCGTGTTTAAATATGTTTGCCACAAAAATATTCATATTATTTTTTGCCCGTGCATTCAAGATGGTTGTACATGAACTCGAAATTTTAGCTATTTTTAGGACTTTCTAACATTTGTACATTCTGAAGGACCAGTGTGTGTAATACACTGAAATCTTATTTAGTGGCTCTAAATGACAGAAAACGCACAAAATTCCACTTGTAGGTTCCAAAGAAAAGTTGATAAGTTAAATATTATAATCAAAAGAGATTGAAAGAGTTCAGAGTATCATAATAGGCGTTAAATGAATATGGACGTCGAAAATAGGATCACAAAATTTCGAATCGAGTAACCATAGTATTTGTCCTGCAGAGAAACAACAATATTCCTTCGGTTGAGGCAACTATATATATGAGAATGTGTATTTACTGAACATTATTCATGCATCATAAAAACTATGGCTGTGAGAATTGCAAAGATGGCCATATCACTACAGCAACTGTCATATCTGTTTAACTTGAAATCACATAAATATTCTTTCTAATCACATAGAATATATGGATGTAGCAATAGACTATAGCAATTTTCTCCGTGCACGAAACACCGACGGACAGCAGTCGTGCTTCCGTCGAGGAACAGTTTATGGGGAACCTCGTTTGAACGAGACTGCTGGTCGCGACTGTACGAGTTCATCCCTCCCTAATTTACTCCCTTGATTATGGCTTGGTCGTGTTGCACGTTGCGAGAACGAATGTAGAATAGCCGGTGGTCATTTTACTCGATTGTACGTCCGCGTGGTCCGGCTTCTGTGCTTCGGATGAGAACGACGGCGACGATCGAAAACGAATCCGACCAGAATTCGAGGAGCGAAGGTTCGCCCACGCACGAAATACACATACACACCGGGGCGTTGTTAATTATCTGCCGCCGTTTATCAAGCAGTAGAGAGAAGAAAGTTCCCTTGAGCGTTTCTCCTTCTTCTATCCTCTCCCTTTAACCGCGTTGTCGCGTCCTTTCTTCTCTTTCTTCTCTCCTCGTCCACGCGTATAACCTCGCGTCCCTATCTCTCTCTCCCTTTTTCTCTACTTTTTTCATGCCAAACGACCAGTCATATCTGTTAGGTTGTATCGGGGATCGAGAGGTCTACAATTTAAGAATCGAATCGCTAGTTTACTTCGAGATACTTTATGTCCCGTGAGCTTAGGATTTGCTGTCTCCGAGATTCGACACAGATTCTCCCGGAGATATGATAGCGAATTTCCAAATAATATCCGAAATTCTGAAATTTATTTCGAAGACGCGACTATTTTAAACTTGCGACGAGATTCGAAACCTTGCTTGAGAAATTTTAAGGATACCACGAAACTTTGTAAGATACGAAACGTAACTATGGCGGACTCGCTTGTCGAAATTGCGCGAGCGCGTTCCGTTATGCTATCGCGACTCCCGGATTTGTACGTGGGAAACTTCGTGAGACTCACGAATCAACGAACTCGCGGGAGGTAAGACGACAACGCGACGAAGAACGAGTCGAGACGCATTCCGAGGCAGGAGAGCCGCATCGTCGCCCATCCGTTGAGCCACCACTTAGCGTTTATCAATACCGTTTATCCGGTGTCCAACGCGCCAAGACGCCGTTTGATCGTACAGAAACCAAAATCCTCGCGCACCACTCATTCGTCTTATCCCTCCGCTCCTTCTTCTCGAACCTCAGCATTCGACACAAACGTAATACTCGATTCATATGTGTGCTCTAGTTTCTCCTTCGAATTTCTCAAATGAAATTCAGGGTGAAACACCTCAGTTGTTACTGACATTTCTTAGTCATTGAAAATCTGATTTTCCTTGCGACCAGTGGCGATTGTTCACAATTTTAATTACAAAGTTCTCTTTTGGAATCATTGAGTTCATGGAAGAAGTTTAATCGCGAGACTGCATGAAAAACCAAGTCTTATTTCTCTCTGGATCATCAATGATTATGAGGGGAAACAATAATTGGATGTTTCACTCTGTTTCTCCGGCTGTAAAAAGATCAAGGGCTATTTAATTATTCTCGAAATCGAGGCTCATGCCGTCATGTTTCGAAAGCCGCTCGTATTTTTTTCGGACTCAGATTAATATTCGCTTTTGGCGCGACCACGTCCCACGAAGTTGTTCTTCCGCGGCATACTTGCTCCTGGCGACACACCCCGTTCACACGACCCCGCATGGGATACGCGTCGCGCTTCGAACTTGGACCGTTCGATTGATTTAAGACGGTAGTAATCGGCGGCCCGAAAAGCTTCTCGCGTACTCTGCACGGCGGTAACACGCCGACGATATTTTCGTGTTTATGTACGCGCACGGCCGGACGTTAACGTTCTTCCCCGTTTCAGCAGCTCTTACATATATCTCCGACGAGCTTCTTCGCGCTACTAGAGGAGAGCCCGGGCTCTCTCTCTCTTTCTCTCTCGGCACGAGGCGACCAGGATCTCCTCCATCCACCAGGGGCTATTTGAGCCGACGTACCTCTCGTATATATCATATTGCCACATTTACCACGTCGCTTCGGGTCGTACTTCGCGACTACTCCGGTAGCCCGAAAACCTTCACGTTGCACGGGGAGTGGCACGTAACAATTCCGGGTGCTGCCTCTTTTATTCCCTCGTCGGCGATATCTCGGGGGCACGGACGAAAACAATATTTGCATGCGACCGCCCACCCTCGTCCATCAGCACGCACGAGAGCGCGAGTGCCGCTTTCTCTCTCTCTCTCTTTCTCTCTCTACCGACCGCTGCCTTCCAGTCGAGAAGTCATGAGCTGAAGCTCATTACGGATAGAAAGCTTATTACGAAGATGCTCCATTCTTGTTCGTAGAACACGTAAAGAAAAACGTTCGGTGAGAAACGTTTGTACGCGTTACTGCGAATTTCGCGAACACGCAAAGCGCAAGGCACGTGCATGCACGTGTTTATGCACAATGAAAGAAGATCTTCTGCTAGAGATTGTGATGTATGGTAATTACTTCAAGGCACGTTTTTTCCAAAATATTCTTTCCAGATATATTTCCAGAAAGTTAAATGTTCAAGAAATAGCTTAAAATATACTTTTGCAAAATAATCAGTTGACAATATTCTCGGTAAAGCTAAGGAGCTTGTGACAAGGTTTCTTTTCTTTTGATTAAAAACAAAATTTCGTTGCTTCGTTTATATATACTTTTTTTATTATTGTTTGCTTTTATTATTTGCTAAATATTAAATTGTTTTATTGTTTGCTAATTATAAGTTTGTTTAGATTTGACAAACATAAATATTACTCGCGTATTTCCTGCCCCTTTGTCGGCTCTTTTATTAAATAGGGAAATGATTGCATTTCCTTGCGTTGGTTTATTGTGTAAATTTGTGAGATGGCTGTACGTATACGAACGATTACAACACCGTGAAGCTGATATTTCGAATTGATCGCGGGTTCGTCCCTAATTGATGATATTGCTGATTATACAAGGCCGATTTTCGGCCGACCAGCATCATTACTACCGTCATACTTCGGCTCCCGTTGAGCAATGTTTGATTTCGGTTGCCAAGCAGCAGGGTGTCCCGCGAAAGGTCTTCGTAATATCCTTCTTGTCGTTGTAATTCTACACCAATGTGTTTGCGGTACATACACATGTCTCAAATGCCAATTCGTGAATTTCGCATCTTCGAATGCCAAAGATCCACGATAACCGACATTCCATACGGAAGGCTCCTTCGCCTTCCTCCTTCGTTTAATTGCATCAAGATTACGTGTAATTATTCGACAGAAATTTGACGCACGATTAAGCCCGGCACGAAATGCATAATTTTTCACGGCGATCTTTCGCGGCTTGTGAAAATATACACGAAGAAAATATTGTAGTAAAAATAACATTAAAACAAAAGTTTTTTTCAACAATATTTTTTGTAAAACTAGACTATACTAAAAATTCAAGTAATTACAATAATTTTATAGCGAAAAATATAAAGTGCATAACACTTTTAAACAAATACATAGTAATTTCGATTATAATTCTGTATGGTTCACAAGATTTAAAAAACTTTGTTGCAATTTTTATTACAATATTTTCTCCGTGCAAGAAGATGATAATAATGTTTCAAATTTGGAAAACGAGAATAGTCAGCGGTAGAAAAGTTGTAACATTTTCTCGATTAATTTCGAAACGCACCCGTGTTCAACAGAAGAGCATTAATATTTTTAATCACAAATAAAAAGAAAAGAGTCAATACAGAAGTCTAGTTTATTAAGAAATAATTTAAGAAAATATTATAATATTAAGAAAAAAAGAGTCAATACAAAAGTCTAGTTTATTAAGAAATAATTTTATACTTTTTAATAAATTTTAATAAACTTCGGAAAATAAAATTTTCTACTGAATCGCGTTCTAAAGGTCATCGAAGTAAGTGCGGCGGTTTTCCTGTCGCTGACTGTGCAAGTATCAATGTACATCGAAGAAATCGTAAGCCAACAATCTCTCGGCAGATCGGTTTATGTGTCAGCGTAAACGCGTAAAGCCGCTGCTCCACGGGGGTGCCGGCTACAGATTCACATTAGATGCCGACGTGTTCTGGGAAGATTCCCATTCGCTGAGAGATGTAAGCTTCTGGCGTATGCAAAACTCAGATGACCTCGTGATACATATCCGACGTGAAACAAGCTTACCGAGCATATCGTTCCGTACGTGCGCGCACTAAAATGTCGAATTACATCCACGATGGCGTTTGTCTCCGGTCTGTTTCGTGCGACTACTATTGATGGCGCGCGTTGCGTTATTCGTCGACTCGCCGCAATCCGGTTAGCGTTATTAACACGTCGAAGTGATCCACAGAATATCGCGAAAAAGATTGTCATTAGAATTACATGAATTTTCCCGTGAGCTATTTACGATGCAGCGACCAAGCTAGAGGGAGAGGAGAGAAAGAGAAAGAGAGGGTGCCGTAAAATTTAACTTTCATCAGTTTGCGAGAATGATTGAAATTTTAGCGGCGAGTTTATTCGCAGGAGTGTGTCTCGATATCGAAATTTCACGAGCTACTCGGTTTATGCGCGATTCACCTCGGGGACTCGCAATCCGCGTTTTTTCACGTCGTTATTTCTCCATTCGTGATAACCTAAGGGGGGATAGAAGGGGGAGGACGAGAACAGTCCCTCACGAAGAAATAACTTTTACACTCAGGGTCACGATATAACGCGTCGCTCATTCGCATACTTTTATCTTAATACTTTTTACAGAAGAGACTATGTTAGATCCGCGAGATAGCTGCGTTCAACAGTTTTATTTTATTAGGCCATTTGTCATGATTTCCCGCGGAAAATCTTGTCGCATCGCCGGCGCCATGCATTTCGAGCCTCCCATATATTTGCATTATTGTCCTTCGCGCGAGTCCTACGGCAATATCGCGTCTAACCCCGCGTGCTGGAAGAAGAAGGAGGGAATAATAACTCGCGCCGTATAGTTCCAAGATACTGATATACTCCCCGCGCGATTAAGCGGCTCGCAGAGGTCAAACGGCGTATCGCATGACCCGCGATGGGCCACTTAATTCACACTGAAAGCCGGGGTAAGGAGGTACGAAGTGCCTCTAAAGTACTCGGTACTTATCCTCCGCTCGTTCGCGCTTCGCTGAAAACGAGAAGACTCGTTCGCGGAGGAGAGAAGAGAGGAGGTCGGTTGTAAGGGACCGGGCGAGAAGAAGGATGAAGAAGGAGGGAGAAGAGGAAGAAGCACAGAAGACGAAGAGAGAGAGGAGGGATATAGGCGGCGGTAGACGCACTTCGATCATTATGCTGGTCAACTACTCTCATTAAGGTTGGCCCCTTACGAAAATGCCGCCGCGACCGGCTGTGGTCGTAGAGTCACGAGAATCGTCGCGGATTCGTCGCAGCTTTTGCCGGTAATTTGCGATAATATTATAATCAGCCCCTTGCTGGGCCCGAAGAGGTGCCGACCCCACGCCCCGGGCCGAATTGATGACCCGTGGAATCGTACGTCTTGCCGCACGTAGCGCCTGCCCTTATTGGGCACCTTTCGCAAGCGAGTATCCCTTCGGTGTCTGCGCCGCGGTCCTCCACGGCGCCGTTCGTGTCTCGAAAGCGCTTTCGAGATACCGATCGTCCCGCCGACCGGACTCTCATCCGCGTCGCCGCATAATTACTTTATCGGTCACGTTACTCCATTACTTACGAAACCTCCTTAAAGGAGCAAGTATGCGCGCATACGCGCGGCAAGTCCGCCAAGCGCGCGGATTTACATCCGAATTTACAGAGTCGCGGACCTTCTTATTTTACGATATTAAGGCGTAATTAAAGCGCTCCGCGTTCATGCCAGTATCGCTAATCGACACCGGCACGCTCGATCGAGCCTCCGACCAAAAGACGTGCAAATTTTCTGTTGCAGGTGAGCTTATAGGCGTCCATTGCACACATGGTGTTAATCGCACCGGATATTTGATTTGCAGGTTAGTGCACACTGTCTTTATCATTTCACATAAATGACTTATGTTCGACTTATACTTCAAAAGATCCAATTTGCTTTGCGAATTAAAATTGTTTGTCAGATATATTTTCTATATTATTTCTATCGATATAACTTTCTTCTCCGTAAAAATATTACGGAAACCTTGCAAAGTAGGGAAACATTATCTGGTAAATATATGAAAGATGCGGTAGAACGATAAAACTTTGTTACAGATATCTCATTCAACAATTGGGTTGGGAGACTCAAGATTCTTTGGAAGGTAGGTGCTTTCAGAAAATTGCATTTTATGATATCACTTGCAATCCTTTCGTTCTTATTAGATTTAATGGAGGCAATTTTAACCTTTCTGAATTTTTCTTCCGACTCTGTATATATACCAACAATTATTAAATATTGATCAATTGTCATCAGTAACTGGAAACTGCGAAAACTTCACTATTTGCGGATTACAAATATTATTTGCACCCGTTTGTCAAAGGAAATAGTACGTAGCAGGCTGTAATCGCACGTGAGTTCTTCTCCCTCTTGCCATGCAAGTCACATAAATGACTGTAACTAATTTTCATTGCGCTTCATGCGAATCAAGTTTTCACATCTCATCCAATAACTCATTCCTTTTTAATCGTCTTCTTTATCATGCGTATTACATGCTACACTCGAAGATATTAATGAAAGATTCGGCGAACGTTAAAATAGGTTAGTCGACAGTGACACTCAGTCAGTGAGTCACTTTACTTCTACACTTTTTTCTTTATCGCCACCGGCGAATCTATTGTTCAAACGAGATCTCCGACTATTTTTGTTCAGCTTTCGGAGAAGCGCGCGGTTACCCAATCGAGCGCGACATTTACCTCACCGCGCTAAAGGCAGTCCAACGCGGCGAGAAGATCGACACGAGCAAGGTCGTTTTGCAGCCAACGAATACTATCTTGTCCCCCATGAAGAACACGAAAATGCGCCCGCCGATGGGCCCAATGGGACCACCGGTTTTCGCGAGACTGCGTCGAGGTTCCGCAAACGGCGTGCTATTCCCGCCCCAGAGATATGGTTTCGTGGGTCCACCGCCAGGATTCAGGCCTATGCCGCCTCCTGGCTTGCCGCCCATACCACCGCCTGTAGGCCCACCACACTACGGACCCAGGCCGCTTAGGTATCAATAATAGTACACTAAAAGAAAAGTATTTGAAAATTTATTTGTGGGATGTAAGGTTTGTTCTTCCTCTTTCTTTTTCTATAGAAAAAAACTTGACATTCACAGAAATAAACTTCATTTCACGGAGATAAACTTCACATCCCACAAATGTTTAAATATTTTTCTCTCAGTGTAATAGTCGTAGCACAGTCCATTCTGTTCCGGGAATAATTTCACCAAGAAACATGACGCGGAGTCTCTTTTAATGACACAACAAACGCAGTAATTCCTAATGCAAAAATGCACATGAGAAACGTAAAAGTCCGACACCAAATCATTAGCTTCCTAGCGAGCAGGACACATGTCGCACGATTGTTAGAAATCAAATTCTGATTGGATTTTACTTCGAGACACGAGGGCGGAGCGATCGAACGAACACGTCATGTGTATGTGTCGAATTGCTCAGGTACGGAATGCCGATGCGTCCGGCGCTACCGACGCCGCCCGGGCCAGGATTTCCACTTCCTGGCTTTCCGCTGCGTATGCCAGGACCGCCGAGAATGGCTGGTCCACCGAGGTTACCACCGGCCGGTCCCGCGGCGCGACTACCACCCCCTAAAATGCCGCCGCCTCCACCGCCGCTCTCGAGAACGACTGTGAGTAAGCAGCTGCACGTGCAGAAGAAGAAGCAGATCCGAAACGGCATCGCAGAGCGTTCGGTGAACATCCGCTCGAGACGGAACGGTCCGGCCAACAGCAGGATCATATCCAAGATGCTCAAGGAGCAAGATTTCACCGTGGACACGTTCGAGGAAAATCTACTGACTACCTCGATCACCGGCCAGCTGCGACGGCCAATGAGAGGACGCTACAGTCAGGCCAAGTGACGATGTACTCGTTAGGTGCGCGATATGTTACTATAAACGTTACAATATTTCGTGTATTCCGCGTCACCGTTATCGCGGGTCACCGTTATCGCGGGTCCCCGCGATTTTATAAACGCGCTTACGCGCCCAAACTCGTCGACGGCGTTTACAATGAACAATGATGACCGTTTTCCCGACGGGTCCACGATTTCTCAGTTTTTCAACAGCGAAGTTTGACATTAATCACAATCCTTAAGACGTGATTGCGCATAGCGCATCTATTTCACTGTCGATAATAAATCCTTTTCAAATAGATTCGTTATCTAACTTGATAACGTATCAAGACCGTATCAGAGCTACGTTTATTACTGATGAGTGAGCATACCTTGTTGGGAACCTCATGATAATAGCGTCCATTGTAATCTTTCTTTCTGATTTGTGTATTATATGTGTGACGAGATGTACATATATACATCATATGCAGCTTTATTATTTTAGGGAAAAACGGAGAAATTCATTTAGGTTAGATTCGGTATCACGAGATTGTAACCAAAATTTGTTGAGAGTCATCGTATCGCAAAAACACGTTTATGTATTTGTCTCATGGAAAAAAAATATGTGTACCTTAGGGCAAAATATTAATGACTTTGTTTTATGCCATATCTATAGATTAAGTCAGAGTCGGGTATTAATAGATTGAAATTTTTCCTGACTAAAATAAATCGATAAATCAATAATAAAAATCAATCGTTATGTGTTATTGCAAATAACTTAATCGATTGATACAATTAATTGTTATATTCAATCACATCAAAATTTAGTTAATAATTACAATCGATTATATGTTTATATATATATACACACACACACACACACACACACATAATAATTGTCTTTTTATTATTGATTTGCCGATTATTTTAGTCAAAGGACATTTTAATCGATCAATGTCCAACTGGAGTAAGTGTAAGCATATCTCCAACATGGTTTGTATTAGAAGATAATCGCTCCATTTGTTATTTGAGAGTTTAGTATGGCCATTTTCAGTTTACAGTTTACACTACTGTTTAAATTGCAACTTATCGTTGATAAGTATCGTATTTAAATCGACTAATTCTTGGCAGATCAAAATGTTTTCAAAGTGAAACAAACAGTAACTCTCTCTCTCTCTGTGTACAATTTTAAATAAAATATAAATATGTATTTAACTATGTACTAAAGTATGTGCACTATAATAACCTGGTTGGTGAACCTTTTCATCATGGATTTCATAACGATCCCATAGCCTTCTCCATGAGTGCGCCGATCCGACGAATACGAACGATTGAAACGAATCTTTGCAGGATGACGCAGTGTTTCTATATGAAATAAGCCGGCCACTACTAATTATCGCATTTCAGATCGATGTCAACTCGGGATTCCCGCCAACCGAAGTGTATTCAGACACACCAGTCCGACTTCCTTTTGAAGTGTTTTTCATACAATATAATCTCACTCTTCTTTTCCAACTTTCAATATTTTCGCTTCGTCGAAATTGATCGCCATCTCAGCCTTAGGCTGAGTTCCACAACTCCTCCAGTTAACTTAACTGGCTGGTTACTCCATTGGACTTGATCAATCGCATTTGACATTAAGAAGAATTAATCAGAATTAATCAGTCAATCACTTGGGACTTAACAGGTAGTCAAAATTAAACGAATGTTGTGGAACTTGGCCTTAATGATGCATGATACATTCTGCTGATAGATCGATCCTCGGAGAGAATTGCTCCTTGATTACTAACGCGAGTAGCCGGTGAATGCTGTACGAGGTTGCTCAAGTAGCCGGCTGCTTTGACGTTGTCATTGTGCCACGACGACGACACCGTGTAGGCAGGTATGCGCGTGGCGCGAAATGTAATTGAACGCACGCACACGGAAGATAGGTATGGGCCACGGCATCAGTCGTGCATCGTGTGTGCGTATGTGTGTCTCGTTCTAAGATATTAAAGTGATTCAATATTCGGCCCGGGTTCAAGGGTCACGCGTGTAGGAGGCACGCCTCTCGCGCGCCTGACCATATATCACAAACTGCCGTTGGCGTACGTGGAATAATTCCACGAGAAATTGCACGCGTCACACACGAGTAGTAACGCCTCGAGTCTCTCGGCGACTTTACCCGGCGGCCTTAAAAGTGAGACCTGCTGATAGGAAGGGCATAAATTAAGTGCGCTCGTGTGTATTTTACGGCGCGCCGCTTCTCTCATCCGGTGGTTACGCGCGGTTACGCCACTCGTAATAATGACGCGCGACGTGGAAAGTCGCGGAAAATCGATGGCGAGTCCAACTCTGATGAGTACTTCGCAACGTTATTTCTAGATAATTGTGCACTGGATATGCCCAACTAGGACGATCGAAGAAATTGAGCAAGCTCAGACCCGAAATGTCACGTGTGTCTTGAAGCGTATTTTCAGAACGTCGACGTTAGTAAAATAATACGTTGCGAGAATATGAAAATTGTGTATTTTAAAACTCAATTTCTCGAAATATTCAACATGCCTATGTAGAATCCTGTTCGCAGCAGCCCCACGACAAGTGACACCGGCTAAAGCTTAATCTACAATATGCTATTTGTTTCCTGTTTCTGTCTTTTTCTTGTTTGAGACTTGATCTGTAATATGTTGTTTTCTGTTTCTTTCTCTTTATCTCTTTCTGATTCAAACATTAAGCTTTTACATTGTAGATTAAGGTTTAAAGTTTGAGTCAAAAAGAGATAAAGACGAAGAAACAGGAACCAGGGAATACATTGCAGACCAAGCTTAAAGCATTTTAGGAAGCTGTGCTACTCGATCGATCTGAACTGTTTTATTCTTCATTGAGATTGTACTTGTCCCTTTCAGCCTGTTTATTCGCGCTAAGTATGTAATGGGAAAGATACAGCTCGTGAATTATCTGCTTTCGTCATAGTCAAATCGATACCTCGGTCTGAGTTATGTTCATAGACGTAGCTGAGGCACAAATGTCGAGGAAGTAACAAGGAGAAAGAAAGAAAAAGAGACGGCGGCGAGGACGACGACGAAAAGAGGTCGTCGTGGATAGAAGGAATTCGAAAACTTTCCCAGAGGTGGAAAGATCGTCGCCCTTCTCTCTCGCCACGGTCCCGGCTCACGGAGACAATCCGAAAGTAACTTCTGGTACGCGCTACTGGCGCCACGGGAAACAATCGTCCAGCGTGATCGCTCGGCGCAGCCGCGCTCTCCGGACAACTGTTTCCCCAGGCCCGGTATCTATCTCAGTTAGACATTAGATTTATCGACATATTTTCTTAGTCTTTTGAGAGACTTTATTTACTTTTGTACAACGCCGTCTACCTCGCCGTCGTCCCGCGCACCGCTCGCGCGAAGGACTACCACCCGTCTTGTTTCGGGGGTCGCGTCGCACCGCCGATCGATCAGATCGGAGGGGGATAGCAGAAGCGCGGCTTTTAGCCGGGAAACGGATCGGTGCTCGTATAAATCCCGTTTTAAGCGAAAGAGTAGCTTCGCGAGAACTGAACAATTGAATGAGGATCGAACGGCTTGCGAGAGGGCAATAACATGTTGCATCACGCGAAGCACACTTGGGGCCGAGTCGAGTGTTGAAGAGGATCATTGGTTAAAGATCAACGAGACTTGAGTGTGTTTCTTCGGCGCACTAAGCCGCGCAAATGCACGGCGCGGTTATTTCGATCGCTTATGGACTTTTGAAGAGAAGCGTAGCTGAGTAAATGTAACGGAGCGTAACTGATAGCGACGTAATTGCATGGCTGTTCAATGAGCGTTAAACTGAGACGAGAGATTAGAGGTATCGACGGGAATTTCTATTACTATGATCGTAACTGATGCACGGCTACTGCGGATAAGAGGATTACATGATCTAACTACCGTGTGATCGCCCGAAACGATCTTTCGGATGCGTCCCGGCGTAACTTTTCGAATAATTCGTAAAAACCTGCAGAGGGACAAACAAGTCCATAAAGACCTCGCGCCATCCCGCTGTCTCTCTCTCTTTCTCTTCCCCTTTCTGTCTTTCTCTCTCTCCTCCCCTCGCGTCCAGTTGTTTAACAGAAGTTTCATATTTTCCGCAGGTGCGATTCACCTAAAATTCTCGTTTCGCGTGATACACAGTTTGATCAGCATCAATAACGTCTCGCGAGATAATTCAGACATCAGAAAGAACAAGAGAAATTAGTAAACGTTCAATAAAACACGTGTCGATAATAATTTATTCCGCGAAATTGAGCCTTTATTTCTTCGCCAGCGGTACCTTTGTACTCCCTCTCTCGCGATCCTTTTCATTCCTACGATTTTCCCTTACCAACTCTCCTGTTTTTTGCAGAGGTTGCGAACACCATAATTCACTGGCGGCGAAGGGAGGGCAGCGAGCTGCCTCGCCCGACTTGGCAATTAGTCCCGATTAATTTCTCAAAAATGAGGAGGAACGCGCGCGTGCTCTGCGGTAGGTACAGATCTTTTAGGATAGGAACTACGCGGAGTCGAATAATAGGAGGCTAAAGGCTAACCACATACGAGGGTCTGCTCTCTGTCTAGCCTCTCGCTTTCTGCCCTCATCGTACACGTCTATCCGCGTGTATCACTATCTTTATATTACTTCGATACATGCATAACTCTTGATCTTTACCGTATATCGTCTATCTACATTTCATCCCACGTATTCTCCGTTCTTATTTTTTCGTTCACCGCACTGAGAGAAAAATATTGTTGCTTTCGGCGTCAAGTATACTTTTTTTTTATTTTAACTAGAAAAAATAATTAGAAGAACCATCTTTCTAATAACAATTACTGAAACAATAGTTTTTCTAATTATTTTTATGGTTAAAATCACAAAAGAACATAGTTGACGCCAAAGACAATTATTTTTCTCGCAGTGCGGATGAGAATCTCCTTTCCTTAGTTTTCATGTTATATATGTCACTCTAATAGGATATTATCCTAGAGATGCCTTCTTTTACTCTACAACTTACATAATCATCCTACAAATTGTGGTCCACATGCACACATGCTTAATTTGCACGCGCATATGTATGCGCGCCTCATTGACACGCCGATACGATGCGTGGTGTGGTGCGCTTTAATGCCGCGGCGCGGCCTACTTAGCAGCCGGCTTGATTAACATGGAGTGATTAATAGTCGCTCCCTACGTTCGTAACCAACCCCAACAGCGGCGGCATCGGAGATCTAATCGCACGATATTTATTGCCCTGCACGTCGTCCACCTCGGGGCCCTCGCCACGGCGATTTTGCGAGCGAGCCTCCACCCTCCCACCTCCGTGCACTCGCCTTGCTCTCGTCCTTTTCGGTTTCGTTTATTTTCGTTTTTATTTTCGTCTCACATCGGCTAACTCGAAGCCGGTCCGTGGGCTCTTCTCCTTCCTGAGTTTTGGCCTTCCAGCATCTCGCCTGAATTCTTCGCGATTCCCGTTTTAGCTCGCAGGGGAAGTCGTTTGAAGCGATATTTACTAATTACAATCTTCCATAATGCATAGACCGGCGTTAATATTCAATTTTCTATTTCCTAGGTACAGTGACATCAGAAATTTCCAGTCAAGCGCATCATGTTTGCATATTTTTATACATCATGATCATTGTTGATTAATAATAAACTTGTAGTAAAAATTGTGATTTTGTTATTAATACAGCAATAGTATATTATATACAAATATTAATAATATAGTAATAAAAATTAATAAATAATTTATAAATAATTTTTTTATTATATTTATTTTATTATTTTATTATATTACATGAAATTTTTGACAATTATTAATAATCAATGTCCATAATGAATGAATATTCAGACATGATGTACCTGATTTGAAATTTGCTGACTGTAAATGCACTACGCCTAGGAAATGCGACTGCATTAATGCCGGTCTACGTACAATGATCTTTCGATTGAGCGTAAAGTAAACATTTTGAATTCGTTATCGTGTCTAAAGATCATACCTCTCGATTTTGTATAACGTGATAAATGTTACTCGGTAATATTTGATATATCTTGTAAACACACTCGTACACATTCCGATCCATTTGAATAAAGATAATCTATCCGTGCTATCGCGTGGGCGCAAATTCGGGATGATATGACGGTGGGTTTTGCGCGAGACACATATCTACCTCGTTTATTCCCCTTTTACATGTTGCGTCAGCGTTACGTTGGCGCCGCATTCGTCTATCC